TTTATGTTATTATAAATATTTTGTAAACGACAATTTTTGTAAGTAGTGATTAATATGTTTGATTTGTGATACTGAGGATGATCAGATTATGGTCGAAACGTTTATCAAAATATATATAAAGTAAATTAATATATTTATTGCACTGTCATGTTCAACGCTTCTCGCCTCCATATTGAATCCGTCATATTGGATTTTTCAAAACATTTCTTTCAAAAGTACATGCATAAATGATCTGAACGTTTATTTTTGTTGCGCCGATTTTTGGGCACACAGACGATCCCCGGTTGACGTGGAACGTCCTATTTAATAATTAAATGTGTGTGTGTGTGTGTGTGTGTGTGTGTGTGTGTGTGTGTGTGTGTGTGTGTGTGTGTGTGTGTGTGTGTGTGTTCAACCAAATTAATCAATTCAATTATTCTGAAACGATCTTAAAAGTGTATGATGTTTTAAAATAAAGCAATTTTTTCACTTACACATACGCAACACATCAAAATTAGGATATCATTAAATCTGTATATTTTGCCGATTCTTAAGAGACTGTATCTCAGCTTTTCCAAGGATCGCAGGACAATTTTCTGGATGTGTCTAAGTGAAAACTCAACTTTAAAAAAATTAAAATTATATTTTCCGCCCCTTCGAATAATCTTTTTCGCTAAAACCCGAAACAAATATTAATAAATATTAATAATATATAAATATTAAAATATCATATTAAAATTCTGAAAATGTTACAACCTTCTAGACCTTTTCACTGGCAAAACGAGGACACAGAAAGAAATATCACCATAAAGATTTTGAATTGGAAAAGTCCTTTAAAATGACATCATAAATATTACTCTAGCATGCCTAGGATCTAAGTTATTATGTTTCGAAGTGTACCCTACATTTTGCAAAATTTTAAATTACTACCGCCGGCATTAGCGTGCACAAGGGGAGGTTACTTGATCAAAATTTACATATCATGTGCACAATTGCCAAGTTCCGAACATTGTACGGCTGGGGTCCAAAGATATTTGCGCTGAAGATTTCATATTTCGAATGGAAGTCGGCCAATTGTTCCATTAAAAAAAAAAAAAAGAGAAAAAGAAAAGGGTTTAATTAGTGTTTTGCGCTATTACAGACTTTCTTTTTATTATTAATATTTAACCAACATAAAGTGTCTACACACAATCACAGAGACCTTTTTATTATTACAAGATTACATAGAATGCGAACACAATTACGAATTTTTTTATTACTCGTAAAACATAAATTGTGAACAATATCACAGACATTCTTATTACTTTCCACGTAACTTGAATATGTAATTAATAAACACCCCACGCGAATAAAAAATTAGAGATATTCCCATCTGCTGGAGAACTGGAAAATAGTTCTGACAACTGGAGTTTCCAGCCGAAATCTGAAGACTTGGGAACCGTGATTATGTGGCGTGCGTGCGTGCGTGCGTGCGTGCGTACCATATATATTTATATACATATATTCATGCATAAAAATTTTTTTAATGCTGAATTCGTAGCAGCAATAACCAGCAGTAAGTATTAATATCGTAAGTTTTGATTGTAACTTTAAGGTTCCTTAAAAAGCAGCAATATAATATTCGTCCCATACGCCCATTAGAATTGTTTTCTATCTAATCTGTTTATAATCGCACGCATAAGCAGCATGGGATCCGTTTCGTTTCTCTATGCGCATAGGAAAAAGAAACCGAGCTAATGCGCGCAGTGAGCTCTATACATATTGAAGTGATACAGGGTCTACAATAGAAGTCGTAGTGGTCGTAGATCGTAGAAAATTGACCAATCATAGTCGATTATTCTTCTCATATTCGAATGTGATTGGTTAATTTTCTACGATTTAAGATTTAACGACTATTACGATTTTTATTATAGATCCCGTAGTCTTCCTTATGCTAACGGTGATGGGACGGCGACTGACTGTGCGAGAAAGACAACCATGCGTGTATCTCTACCTCACTTTAGTACTATTACCGTCGGTAAAAATATCAAACTTAGTTGTATAGGTTGCGGGATATTATGAGATATGTCTGTGTTTGTGATATTTAAAAAAAATTAAAATTTAGTAAATTATTGCTTTGTTAATTAAAAAAGTTTTTTTTATTAAAAAAGTACTTTTTATAGATAAATATAATTTAATTTAATTTAAAATTTGTATACTGCGATATTTATATTATCTCAGATAAAGAAACCTGCATAGATAAGAGTAACAGAGTATTTATGCTACCATTGCTACCGATGATGAGCAACAAAGAAATAATTTACTATTTTTATTTTTTTGAATATCATCAAAGAGTAACTCTAATATATCGCAGTATACGTAGACATTTTAAATTAATTTTAATTATATTTACTTATGAAAAGTAATACTGCCTTTTACCCAAATACTTTTGTAGTTATTAACAAAGCAATAATTTTCTATTTTAATTTTTTTTAAGTATCACAAACATATCTAACAATATCTAGCAATATCTAGGCGCAATTGGGGTTGATGTTTTTAGTAACGGTAATACTAGTAAAGTGAAGCAGAAATAGTCAACATGTCACTGTCGCAGAGTTAACCGCCTTCCACCATCGTTAGCATAAAGAAGGCTTACTCCAGTGTGTATAGAGCTTATGGCCGTAGCAAACTTTTGCATAACGCATAATACATAGTGCATAAGAAAATCCAAAGTTCCTTTTTTCCATGAAATGGAAGAAAAGGAAAAATTCTAATTGGCTGATTCTATACGTTATGCGTTATGCAAAAGTCTGTGCTGCGGCCATTACTGAATGTGTGCGCATAGACCAAGAGGTCACTGTAGTAATTTTGTTACCAATAGCTTTAAGTATGAGAAGTAAATAACCTTTTATTTTATGTAAAACATAAAAACTATATACATATTTAAGCCTGATCGCGGTTGCTTGAAGGGGAGGTGGGCTTTTCAAAATGTGCAGACTTTGAGCATTTTTAATAAAAACGTCAAGGTTGATTGCAATGTGGATAGTTAATACTATTCCAAGACGGGAAAAACTCCGCCGTACTGGAACAATTGATAAATTTTTTCTGAAAAAAAAAAATCGATAGCGATAAGATTGAACACGTACAATTTTCTTACTCTATGTAAAATTATATGTGTTTAGGTAGCTATGGCTGTCCTCGTGACCATCCCAAAAAAAATCATATTTCTCGACAATTGACATCAAAATTAAGTAATAGATAAAAATTCAACTTGTCACTATCAATTTTTTTTTCAGATAAGATTTATTACTTTGACCCAGTACGGCGACTTCTTGCACCCTTCTGGGCTACGTTCAGATTGAATGTTAAATAAGCTGGGTGAGTGATCGCTGGGTGAGTGGGCGAAACCTAGCGAAAAGTATTAGAGCGGTTTGGTAATTGAAACGCACTCTAAGATAAGAGAGTGTCCTACAAGCATCGATTACAGCAAATATTATAGTAATATAAATTTATTAGATTTAATATAAATTATACAATATATAATTATTTATAAATAAAATATACACTCAGTCAAAAAAAAAAGCGGTAAAGCAGATAAATTGAAAAAATTTACGAAACTTCAAATGCTCGTAACTCAGTAAATAATTATGATACAGAGGTGTTAAAAAAACAAAAATAAAGCTTGAAGTCCGTACTTTGAGAAACTTCTAATATCGATTGAGTAGTATCAATTTTCCAATGGAAATAATAGAGTCAATAATAGAGTAAGGCAAAATTGACAAGTAGAATCTCCTGTTTCCGAAGCTGCATGGAGTAAAGCAGTTGATACAGCTTAATGAGATAAAAAGGCGTGAAATTTCAAAATCTCTCCTTCAAAATGCGCTTTTGTGGAACTCGATACGATAATTTTTTGCCAAGTTATGACAATTTAAAAAAAAAAATAGTTTTTTATACAAAATGATGATTAATTGTGAAATGTAATGCTGCCATTATCAGTTCAAACCATAACAATTTTCAGATAATTTATAATTCAATAAATATTGTGGAAGTGATGTGGAATCCTTATCTCTACTGTGACACGCACGCACGCACTCTAAACATGTGGTATGCAAACTTTAACCAAGCAACCTCCTAGTAATGCACATTGGATAACGCGAATGACGGCGGTAATTATCCAAAATCTTGCAAAACGAGATTCACTTTAAAACATAACTTCCAAGCATGTTAGTGCACAAACGTTACACGATGTGTAATGATCGTGATGTCATTTTAAAGTTCCCCACTTCAAAACTTATATGATGACATTTCTCACCTCGTCTTCGTTTTGCACGTGGAAAGCTGAAAATTGTGATATTTTCAGAACTTTAATACTGCTTCTGATCTTCATAAATAAGATTATTATGTGTCCATTAAATGAGACAAAAAATATTATTTTGTTTTAAAATTGAGATTACACCCTTTTCAAAACGCACCCTAAAAAATTGTCCTGCAATTCCTGGAGAAGCTGAGATAGTCTCTTAAAAATCGTTAAAATTTGCATATTTTAGAGAGTAATCCCCTAATTTTGATGCGTAGTATATTTAGATAACGCTTAATTTCTTTTTTATTCAATTCTTTCAAATAAAAATCGAAATTTATTCTGACTCTTATAAAACTATAATTCCTATTGACTAAATTGATAAATTTTCTTATATATTGTAACTATATTTCTTTTAATATTCTGCATATAAAGATATGTTATTAAAAAATCATTTTGAAAATACTTTATGTATTATCAGTATTATAAATATTACAAATATTATTAAATATTTTTGTGTAGAAATGTAAAGAGAAAAATTAGCTTTTTTGAAATAAAAATCATATATTTATATTTTTATATTTTTGCATGCGCAATTGTTAAAAAATTAAATAAATAACTAAAAAATAATACATTATTTAAATTTAAAAGGATTAGTTTCGTTTTAGTTCAAGAAAACCATATTTTTTAAGTGATTATATTAGGATACCCTATGTGTATGTATAATAAGATTAATTCTCTTTACCTTTTGTGAGTAGATGAAAACACGAGACACAAACGCGCGAATCAATATTTCCTTGGTATTCTAATTTGTATTTCATATTGCAACATTTGTTACATAGTACCTGCAAAATGTGTTGTAAATTTAAATATTGGATTGTTACATAAAAAAAGAAATACAATATTACAAATTTGGAAAAATTAATTTATAAAATAAATAATATTGCGTAATATATCAATCAATAAATAACTAGTTTGTCTTTTTATTTTAATTCAATAAATACGTACTTTACCGCAAGCACGACAATGATGACGTCTTTTAAGTACAGTAAATTTAACATCACACAACATACAACTAGGTGCATCACTATCTGGAACCCAAAATGGAGGCTGTTTTCCCAATACTGTATTACATTCGACTAAAGAGTTATCAGAAACATCCGATGAAGCACCGCGATCTTCATCAACAACACCAATTTCTGAGTGTTCTGGTACCTCTGGTGCAGTACTCGAAGATTCTGTTTTTTTTTTCAACATAAAAATTAAAATTGTATATTTTTATAATTTTAAAAAGCATGTGGTATACTAATTGGCAAAACAAATGATTGTAAATGAAAATATCAAAGTTTCTCGAGACAAAACATGGCTTATCAGCTATCAGTAGCAGAACACTTGCAATACAGCAACTTGTAGCATAGCAGAAATCGTACGATAATTTATTATATAATAGCATAAATACACAAAAATAAATCAGAATACTTTTTAACAAATTAGAATATTGCGCTTCTTAATTAAGTTGTTTAATAATCTGTAGAACTTACAAACAAAATTTATGAAATAGAAATTAAACTTTTATTTTGAGACCAAGTAGTCAGTAAACGAACAATTCTCCATAGAAAGAATTGTTATCAGAGTTTTCTATAATCAATTTAATATTTTCTAAATCCTATATTGGAATTGTATCAGAAAATAAGCTCATAAAAACAAACACATTTTATTTTCATTAGCTGCATTAGTAGTCTTTATATTTACCTGTAACACAGAAGTTTGAATACAAAAAAGATACGTTATATTGCAATAAACGAAAGAACTATAGTTCGATATAACATATTGATATAACATATCTAACATAATATTGGTATTTTTGTCATAATTTAATAACAACATGCTGTAATTTTATTGTATTTTTATTATTATTTTTTTTAGACAAAGCATGCTCGATTTCTACTGTGTTTTTACCATCTTGCCGTGCAAGTAAATAAGTTCGATTTCTAACGATATTTGCCAGTGTAGTATAAAATCATATGCTCAGATTTAATTTCTGTTGACATATTGTGCTAACACAAAATTACTATCTTTAGAATTTCTTAATTTTTATAACATTTTTGTAGCATATCAGGACATGGAAATTGCTTGCTTTCTGTTGTATTTTTGCCAACATTGACTGAGACGATAGACCATGTTTGGCTGCTGCTGAAGTTTTGACAATATGGTATATAGTACACGGATTTGCATGTGATCATGGCCGACCTGACAATTTGACAACTTACGCTAGCGCTCTCTCTTTCAAAAAAACGCATATAAAATATTATGAACAAAAACTGATATATCAGAAATGATATATCAGAATTCTTTGCTAACTTTTTGCTTTAAAATACTGCAAAAAGAAATTAAAAATATGAATGATTATGAATGTACTAACACTCATAAAAACTATATAAAAATAAAGCGAATAAAAATAAGAAGTTAATTAGTTTAAGGAGATCTTAAAGTCGTTCGTTTTATCAACTAAACATTACCTTTTGTAACGCATTTTCGTATATACTTCTTTTATAGATTTAGGAAATCCTTTCTCAGAATTAAAACATACGCAATAAGAATATTTTATTTTAGACCATGTGAAAACACAATCGATAAACTATAAATTAAATGCCTATAACGGTCGAAGCTGAATCTTTAATGCTCAAATAATTCAATGTAAATTATATATATACAGAGTGTCCCGAAAGTTTTTGCCAATCGCTTTTGTGTAGATAGAGCGGACTAAATTGAATTGAAAAGTCCTCTACTTGGCAATTTTCGCAATAGTTAACAAGATATTAATTATTAAAAATGACCGAATATTGATCTTTAATAATTTTTCTCTCAAATATTATCAACTTTACAGAAAAACTGTAAGAGATAAAAATTGTTTATTTTCTTTTCATAAAGTTCTGAGAATTTTTTCAGAATATTGTAATACCGTATTTTTTCATGATGATAAAAATAAGAAAATGTAATACTAAAAAGTTAATAAAAAAAATTCTGAAAAAATTCTAAGAGTACTATGAAAAGAAAATAAACAATTTTTATCTCTTATAGGTTTTTTTGTAAAATTGATAGTATTTGAGAAAAAAATTATAAAAGACCAATATTCGGCCATTTTTAGTAATTAATATCTTGTTAACTATTGCGAAATTTACAAAATGGTATAGACTTTTTTGTTCCCCTTGATCCATTTTACACCCCCCATG